AAAAAAAAAAAAAAAGGATTTTATTTGTGTGAGAGAGATCAGAGAGCCCAATGTGGGACTTGATCCCAGGACCCTGGGATCATGACCTGAGCTGAAGGCAGACACTTAACCAACTGAGCCACCCAGAGGCCCTCTTTTTTTTTTTTTTTTTTTTTAAGATTTCATTTATTTATTTGAGGGGGAGTGGCAGAGGGAGAGGGAGAAGCAGGCTCCCTGCTGAGCAGGAAGCCCAATGCAGGACTCGATCCCAGGACCCTGGAATCATGACTTGAGCTTACCTGACTGAGCCACCTGGGCGCCCCCAACTAAGCTACTCTTAAGATCTTGTCGAGACCCGTCAGTGTGCTCTCACTCTGTGCAGACTCAAACTGGTCAAATAACAAAGCCTGTGGCCTTTTGCTGCTGGGTCAGAAGCAGCAGTTCTGGAGACAAAAACCTGTATTTTCTATATACATATATATATAGACCCTATTATGTTTCAGGATGACGTCTTCTTGGGGGCTCGGTACAGAACTGCATTTGGTCTATTTAAAGACATTGATTCTGAAACTTTTGGCAGCCAAGATTTCCTTCCCCAGCCTCTCAGAATCGATGATTCTACATCTGCCTTTTGGTTTTCAGCCACCTCTGTGATCTGGTTTCAGGTAATTGAGGGTTTTCTGAGCAAAGAAGTAAGTTACATCGTGTCTAGCCGCAGGGAGGCGAAGACAGAGAGCAGTGGGACAAGCCCCAGAGGCTGCCGCTGCCCCAGCCCCAGCGAGGTCAGAGGCCAGACACCGTCCACGGCCCATCCAAAGGGCGGCCACACCAGGCCTTCACAGAAGCCTGCAGACTCGGTGAGAATCTCATTGGGTAGGAAAGGTGTGTTCTCTGAACAAAGGAAGTACACCTCGGTGAGCCCCTGTGGGCGGTCTCCAGCTTTAGTTTCGTCTGGTTTAATTTAATCTCTCATTTGAATTCAGGGACTGAATCTAGCTCTGCATCCAAAAAGCTCACCAACTTGTTATCCCCATGCGGTCCCTTCTGTGATACATTTCACTTTTCATGGGACTTCCGTGTCAGAGGTTCAGAAACAATAGGAAGGTCCTCTGTAAACCAGGGAGGACTTGTTGAAATTGACCCAGGTTGCTCTGCTGGGGGTGTGGAAACTCTCAAAGAGTGGTCTTAGAACATGGGGGATGCTTTGACCTTGGGTCCATTCAGGACATCCTTCTCCACCGGGGTCCAAGCTGTGGCTACCTGTGGGTGACCCAGAATTGTAGGTGGCTTTGCCTTTACTCCAGAAAGTTCTTTAGGCTCTCGTTCTGCTGCTCCTCAGCTGTCACTGCTCCCAGCTTTCCGAGAGCCAGGCCCCCAGGCCCACCACCCCCCCCCCCCCCCGCCCCTGGCGCCTGTGGGGCACATCTGTGCATAGGTGGGCTGCGGAGTCTGGCTCACGGCTCTTCTTTTCCTATCAGGTGCCTCTGAGCAGAGGGAAGGAGCTGCTGCAGAAGGCCATCAGAAACCAGGTGAGAGGCATACCTGGGTGGCTCAGTCGTTAAGAAACCAGGTGAGCCGAGGGAGGCGGGCTTAAGGTGCACGGGGAAGGACGTAGCCTTTCTCCTGAGGGCTTTCCAGAATACTGCCACGAAATGCACAGCTGTGAGACGGAGCGTCCTTATTTCCTTCTTACAGATGAGCAGGTAGAGCTCAGAGAAGTAAAGCGGTTTGTCCAGAGTCACCCAGGGTGGTGGTAGAGCCTGGGTCTTGACTCCCCCATCCTTCCATCTCCAGAGCTAGCAAGAGCGCCCCGGAGGGACGCTGGGGGACGTGTCTGCGCTGCACATAAGCCAGGCTGCACATCTCGTATAAGTAGCTATTTATCCCTTTTGCGAGATCTAGAACCATTGAAGTGAAGTCGTGGGAGGAGGAGTCAGGGTGCTCTTGTGAGGAAGTGGTGTCGAGGAGGGTGCGTGGCTGTGGCCAAGGGAGGAGGTGGGCTGTGCTTGGGCGGCAGGGTGGGGACAGCCTGAGGCAGACGCAGCTTCCTGCTTAATGGTGGCGGCTGGCACTGCTGTTTGTCGGGTCCCCGCTGGGTGCCAAGAGCTTGGCTCACTTGGCTCCTTGCCAGGAGTCCCTCCTGGCAGACGGACAGACAGCTCTCTGAGAACCCTCCATTCCTTCCTGATCACCAGTGGCGAGGACCGGCCCGTGTGGGGAACAGGGTCTTCGGGAGGCCTGGGGGAGACTCTCCCACACCCTCTCTTCATGGGGCCACCCGGATCCAGTTAGGCCTTGGGGAGTCCCTTGCTCCTGCCTGACCACATCGTCTTTCCAGGAGAGCGGCAGCGGAGGAGGCGGCGGGAGCAGCAGCAGTCTCCTGACCAATGCCCGCTCCTGGGGAGTGAGGATCCTGCACGTGGACGGTACCGTTTCTGCACGGGGCTTCCGCGGAGGGGACTTGGTGACTGGCTGACGGCATCTGCTCTTAGAGGGCTGTCCGCCAGTGGAAGCTAGAGGAAAGCCAGATGGACTCACTCACTGTCTTGACGCACAGAGGTGGGGGGCGCGGACCAGCCAGAGTGAGAGCAGGGCGCGGGTGCTGGAAGGCGCCGCTTTGTTTAGCTGCACTGCGCCCCCTCCAGCTGGTGTCATGATCCTACTCCACAGATCCAGAAATCCGGGGCGCCGGGGGGCTACGTAAGCTAAGTGTCTGCCTTCAGCTCTGGTCATGATCCCAGGGTCCTGAGATCGAGCCCTGCATCGGGCTCCCAGCTCAGTGGAGAGTCTGCTTCCCCCTCTCCACCTGCCTGCTCCCTCTCCTGGTGCTCTCGCGCACTCTGTCTGTCACATAAATAAATGACATCCTTAAAAACAACAACAAAAAAAAAATACGGAAATCCTCCTATTCTCCATAACCACTGACCACGCATTACTCTGAGCTAGGTATCAGCTCAGTTGATCCCCATTGCAATCTTTGGCCCATTGTACAGATAAAGAAATTGAGCCTTAACAGATATTAGATAAATTGTCCATAATGTCATCACAAGTGAGGAGTGTAGCCCACATTCCAACCTAGTTCGACCCAACTAAATTTCATGTTCTTTCAGGGCACCTGGCTGGCTTGGTCGGTGGAGCATGCAACTCTTGATCTCAGGGTTATGAGTTCAAGCCCCACACTGGGTGCAGAGATTGCTTAAAAATAAAATCTTTTTTTTTCCCCAGATTTTATGTATTTATTTGCCAGAGAAAGAGAAAGACAGAGAGCACAAGCAGGGAGAGCAGCAGGCAGAGGGAGAAATCGGCTCCTGGCAGAGCAAGGAGCCTGACATGGGACTCGATCCTAGGACCCCAGGATGGTGACCTGAGCCGAAGGCAGACATTAACCGACTGAGCCACCCAGGCGTCCCTAAAAATAAAATCTATTTTTTTATTTTATTTTATTTTATTTTATTTTATAAAAGATTTTATTTATTTGAGAGAGAGAAAGAACACAAGTGGGGAGAGAGGCAGAGGAAGGGGGACAAACAGACTCCCCAATGCGTGGAGCCTGATGCAGGGCTCGATCCCAGGACCCAGAAATCATGACCAGAGCCGAAGGCAGATGCCTAACTGACTGAGCCACCCAGGTGCCCCAAATCTTTTTTATTTTTATTTTTATTATTTTTTAAGATTTTATTTTAGGGAAAAAAAAAGGTTTTATTCTAGGGGCGCCTGGGTGGCTCTGTCGTTTAAGCGTCTTCTTTCAGCTCAGATCACCATCCCAGGGACTTGGGATCGAGCCCTGCATGGGGCTCCCTGCTCAGTGGGGAGCCTACTTCTCCATCTCCCTCTGCCTCTCTCTGCTTGTGCTCTTTCTTGCTCTCAAATAAGTAAATAAAATCTTTAGAAAAATAAAATAAAAAATAATAAAAGATTTTATTTAAAGTAATCTCTGCACCCAACATGGGCCTTGAACTCACAACCCCAAGATCAGGAGTCACATGCTCTACTGACCAACCCAGCCAGGTACCCCAAAAATAAAATCTTTAAAAAAAAAATTTTTTTTTTATGTTCTTTCTTTTGTGTAGGGTTGCCTCACACTGTAACCGCCGATTTGCAGGTTGTCATAAATTTACGTTAGAACAGCCGTCCTGAATCAGCCAGCAGTGACTAGCCCACGTACCCAGCTCTGCTCTGAGTCTAGGGTTTTCTAATAACACTGTAGGGGGCTGATCCAGATCTAGCCAGAGGCCTGCCAGGGCATTCGAGAATTGTGCTCAGGAAGGTACCAGTCTGGGATGTGGGGGGGCTCTTTTGTTACTGGAAAATCAGCCATTTCTGACATGATCTAACTTCCTGCCTTCCTGTGTGTTAGGGAAGCTCCTGCTGGGTCTTCCATCTAAGGCTGCATCTGAGTAACCCACGTGGGTTATCCCCCCGCATCTCGGGCACAGCTCTTCAGTGGTACCGTAAAGCCCTTGTGAGCCGTAAGGCCGCTCCTCTTCAAGAGCGGTACCCAGTGCGGCAAAATAGCCTGAACCCAGCTTGGGTACTTTCCCAAGGAGAGAGGACCCAGCCCTTTCTTTTATTATCAGCAGGTGCAGAGGTGACACATAGCCAGAAGGTGGCAGGCAAGGCTGGTGTGATCCAGGGGGCCAGGCCGGTGAGAAGCTGAGCCCCCAGCCCCAAGAAGGGGCTGTGCTGGGGAGAGAGGGGTGGGAGCCTTTGGCCACAGCCCTCTGTTTCCTCCACAGAAATGCTGATGCACGTGCAGCAGCTGTCTCTTGATGCTCTGTGTGTGAAGAAACAAGGGCCAAAGAAGAAGCCAGAGGTAGGTTGTCCTGCCGAACTGAAGGGAAATGGATGGTCTGCAGCAGTGAAGTCGGTGACAGCTTTGGTAAATCCCTGACCCACGTGAGCCCTGTGTTCTTGGCCATTTTAGAAAAAGGAGGAAGAGCGCAGCCTCCATCGTCAGCATGGCCCTGGTGTCCACAGCCTCTCATTGCCCTGTCCTCTCCTCCCCGTGCTACCTGCAGATCTCCCATGGTCCACTGAGGCATGCACCGTGGCCTGGGCTGTGGACTGGGCTGTGGACTGCCCGTGGCTAGTCGTGGCCTAGATAAAACAGAAGTGCTCAGGGCCTCCTGGCTAGGCTGCCGTTCTGGGGCCAGCTCTTGGCCCAGGAATGAGCCTGCAGATTGCATGGGTGGGGGCGGGGGATGTTGCGGTTTGAAAGAGCTCTCACCTTCCAGATTCCTATTTGGCTTTTCCTTCCTCTGCTAGAGTTAGAACTGTGTGTACCCTACATCAAGAGAGCCCAGGCTGATTTTTAAAGCCACGGCGTCTTCATCCAGCCTGAATCTGAGGAAGGATTAAGGCTTCCAGGTACCACCCAGGGCCTGGCGCCCAGGAGCAGGACCAGCAGTGGTAGCGAACCCCTCCGTAGCAGAGGGAGCCCTCCGCCCCAGCGCCCCTTGCTCCACACCCTCTGGTCTGGGAGTCTTTGGGGTTTTGCTGCTTCTGTGAAATAGATCTGCATTGTTCACCATTCAGAGGGTTGTACGAGGAAAGTCTTTGTCCGCTGCGACTTCTCTTCCCCCCCATTGCCAGGCTCCCTCTCCAAGATAAGCAGTGTGAATCGTTTCCCAGGTATCCTCCCAGGATCCATGCTTATGTGAGCAGATAAGTCAAAAGTTCCTCTCTTTTTTGCAAACGCATGGTATTTTTACTTTGCCTTACTCACTTAATAATCTATTGTTTTTAAGATTTTATTTATTTGACAGAGATCACGAGTAGGCAGAGAGGCAGGCAGAGACAGAAGAAGGGAAGCAGGCTCCCTGCCAAGCAGAGAGCCCGACATGGGACTCGATCCCAGGACCCTGGGATCACGACCCGAGCGGAAGGCAGAGGCTTTAACCCACTGAGCCACCAGGTGCCCCTAATAATCTATTTTGTAGATACTTAGGGGTCTTTCAGAGTAAGTTCTGGGCGCAGTTGGCTGATACGCAAGGAGATAGGGAAAGCTTCTTTGGGTCATGGTTGCCCTGGAGTTGTTGCCTGGAGAAGAATCCAGAACCTCCGTGGGCCCAGAGGTACAGACAGTCCTGGATGCATTAGATCTCTGCCAACCCCCTCCCTGATTTCTTATTTTTTTCCATTTAATTTGTAGTAGTATAGTAGCTTTGTTTGACCTTGACCTAAACATGGGTTTGTTTTGTTTTTCTTTTAAAGATCTTATTTATTTATTTGAGAGAGAGAGCGCACAAGCAGGGGGAGCAGCAGAGGGAGAAGGAGCAGCAGGCTCCCTGCTGAGCAGGGTCTGATGAGGGGCTTGATCCCAGGACCCCAGGATCATGACCTCATGACCTGAGCTGGAGGCAGACGCTTAACCAACTGAGCCACTCAGGCGTCCCAGACCCGAACATTGGTTTTGACCCACAGGGTCCAAATACACAGCACAGGACACAGGAAAGCAAGAGGTGTATAAGCTGACCTGGAATGGCAGCAGGGCCTGGGAGATGCGAGCTGCCACGTCTGGGCACCTGCCCTGCGTCAGGTCTACTGCCTCCTCCCTTTGCATTTGTCTGTACTTCGTGGCCCAGTTGGCGAGGCGGGGTTGTCACTTGCACGCCGGGCGGCACAGCACGGGCCCGCGCCCGGGCCCCGGAGCTCTGCATCTCTTGCCCTTCCTGGTGTCCTGCGTTCCCTCTACAAAATCAGCTGCCACTGAGATGCACTCACAGGGCTCGCCCCCCATCTTGTCCCCGGGGAGCCAGAGAGAGCCATTGGGTTGGCTCTGCCCTCACTTAGGGCCCAGCTGACAGCAGGAAGCAAAGTGGGGCAGACAGACTCAAAGCGACTCGCCTCACCAGGCCCGCTTCCTCGACCCTCCAGCTCCCTCGCATCCTTAACCTATTTTCCTTTCCATTTAGGGAGCGTGTCCAGCAGAGTCAAGAACGCGGAAAGGTCAGTGTGGTAGCTTTCCTCATCTAACTGCAGTCCCTCCCTCCTAAACGCTTCCCTACGGCTCCCTCTGTGGCAGCATCTGCTCGCTTTTCTGCGGCAGGAAGCGAGCGAGTCCAGGTTGTGTTGTCCTGTCGTGTTTGCAGGGCCTGCGCTTTGGAGGCGAGAGGACGGGAGAAGGGTATCTGGGAGCAAGCCCAGAGCCGCGTGGCCTGAGCGTCTCCTTAGCGCCAGGACCCCGTGCGGCCGCGGCCGGATCCCGGCCCTGCCTGAAGTTCGCCTTCCTCTTCCCTCTGATTCAGGAGCAGTTTGGGGTGGGCAGTGTGACAGCTGCCTACCACTCTCCCAAATGCCAGACTCCCCGAAACTGACAAACAGGCAGATTGACAGCCCGGCTCCCGGCCCCTCTTGGACCGCAGGAGAGTTTCTCCCCCTGGATGTTTCTCCCGGAGCTGCTCTTTAAGTGGCATTTATTCGTGCACAAGTAGGAGCTAAGAAAAGTCACTTGGCACCTCTCATGTTCAAAATTCAAGGAAATCTGTGGGGGAATTGATTTTAATCACTGTCTCAGTTAATTAGAAAGACAAGAAATCGCCCCCAAAAAGTAATTAATGAGAGCTGCTGCCTTGTGAGGAGCAAGGCTGCTTTTGGCTCAGGCGCTGGTGGAGCCCGGAGCGGGTCTGGGGGGAGGCGCTGGCCTCCCAAGGAGGGGGAAGGTCTGGGGGCTTCTGGGGCTGCCTGTGCTCCCAGCCTGCCCAGCTGCCCTTCTCACAGGGCCTCTGGGGGAAGAAGAAGGGGTTCTTAATACCTAAGAGAGTTTGTAAACTCTGCGAATACCTAGCTCACAAAGGAATCTCTTGATTAACTGAGCAAATTCGTCTTCCCAGCCGCCCCTTGCCCTGTTGATCCAGGATCCAGATTTCACCTTTGGTGGTTTTTTTT